CACCTCCCTGGCCAGGGATCAAACTTGTACTGCAGTGGCTGTGGATAGCTTCAGAGTGCTGCAATTTAACCAGGGAGGGTCCTTAAATAACTTTTTTCACTTTTATTCTTTTTAATTTTTTAAAAGATTTATTTATACATACAGAACTGGGGTACATGCTGGAGTGGCGGAAGTGAAGAATTCACCAGAGACAGAGTGGTGGGAAGCAGAACAGGTGAATTTACTGAAATACACTAAGGGGAACAGTGGGAGAGACAGAAGGGCCTGCTGCACCATATGTGGTTTAGCTCCCTGGCCAGGGATCAAACTAACGCCAGAGTGGTGACAAGGTGATAAAGCATGATAGCACTGAGACTTAACCCCTATGCCAACAGGGAGGTCCCTAAACCTATTTTAAATTGAAGCCTGATGATGTCTGTCTACATACATACTAAAGCAAATGTTTCGGGCCTTCCCTCCTGGTTAAACGAGTTAAAGCACAGCATTGTGAGGCTTTCCGCAGCCACTGGAGCAGTTTGATCCCTGGCTAGGGAGGTGACCCACATGGCACAGCAGACCTCTCCTGACCTGCCCACGGCTCCCCTCGGCATTGTATTTCAGTAGATCTGCCTGTTCTGCTCCCCACTCTGTCTCCAGTGAATCCTCTCTTCCCCCGCACCGCTGACCTGTACCCCAGTTCTTAGATATATAAATCTTGAAAAAGAGAAAAAGAAACATGAGGACCTGGCCTATATATGCTGTGTCAGATAAGACAGACTAAGTTATCCTCAGTGGCCTAATAAAGCTGTTATTTTTCACTCTTGTCACGTCTAATGCAGATCCACAGGAGGCTCTTCTCAAATGCAATCACTTGGGCACTCAGGCTGAAGTAGGTTCCATCTCAATAAATGTTTCCATGACCACTATGGCCAGAATGACATGGTAAATCTGAATCTCATTCTCAAAGCTTCCATGCAGAAATGAAATACACTTCCATTAATATTTCTTTAAAAAGTCATATGGTCGGCCCTCCCTGGTGGCGCAGCGGGTTAAAGCACAGCACTGAGAATCTAAAGCCGCTTCCTCATGAGTTCGATTCCCGCCTGCCCCGGAGGTGACGACATGGCGTGGCAGACCTCTCCTGACCCGCCCGCTGCTCCCCTCAGCAGTGTATTTTGTTGATCTGCCTGTTCTGCACTCCACTCTGTCTCTGGTGAATTCTCTCACCCTCCACATCTCTGGCCTGTATCCCAGTTCTGTATGCACAAATAAAATAAAATCTTTAAAAAAAAAAAAAAAGTCATATGGTCATGCCCAAAGGCAGAGCAAATAGGAAAAGCAATCCTGTTACATAATCAGGCAGAATAGCACCTAGGTATCTATGGTTAAGTCCCAATGTTTACCATACCCACAAATTGATTTTTTCCAAAGATTTATTTATGCTTACAGAACTTGGAGTACAGGCCAGAGGTGTGGTAGGTGAGAGGATTCACCAGAGACAGAGTGGGGAGCAGAATAGGCAGACTGACTGAAATGCACTGCCGAGGGGAGCAGCGGGAGGGTCAGGAGAGGTCAGCTGCACCATGTGGGTCACCTCCAGGGCCAGGGATCGAACTCATGCTGCAGTGGCTTCAGAGCACTTCATAATGCGGTGCTTTAACCTATTGTGCCACCAGGGAGAGCCCCACAAATTGATTTTTAAAAAATAGTTATTTATGCATACAAGAACTGGGGTATAGGCCAGTGGTGTGGGGGTAAGAGGATTCAGTGGACACAGAGTGGGGAGCAGAACAGGCACATCTATAGAAATACACTGCTGAGGGGAGCCACCGGCGAGACAGGTGAGGCCTGCTGCGCCATGTGGGTCACTTCCCTGATTGGGGATTGAACTCAGGCCACAGTGGCTGCAAACAGCTTAATAGTGCTGCACTTTAACCCCCTTTTGCTACCAGGGAGTCCATCCAAAATTGATGTCTTGATCCCAATGAATCACTGTTATAAGTCATAGATCAAAAAAAACTAAAAGTTTTTTTTTAGATTGATTTACTTATGCATACAATAACTTGGGAATAGGCCAGAGGTGCAGGGGTGAGAAGATTCACTAGACAGTGGGGAGCAGAACAGACAGAACAACAGAAATACAATGCTGAGGGGAACAGCAGGTGAGTCAGGAGAGTTCCGCTGCACCACTCCCTGGCCAGGATCAAACCTGTGTTGCAGTGGCTGAGTACTGCTTCATAGTGCTGAGATTTAACCCCTTGTGCCACCAGGGAGGCCCCCAATTTAAAGGTTTTCTTATGTTAATTTGCAATCTAGCTCACTGTAACTTCCTTCTACCATACCCCGTTCTGTTCCCAGGGATACTCAAAACATATCTGCTTCCCTTGCCTCAGAACAGTCCTATTTTCAGAAATGGCATCTTTCTTGCCCACATCTTCTGTTTTGCTGGCTGAATATTCTCAATTCCCCCAATTCTTCTTAGAACTTTCAGTTTCCTGTCCATTCTGGTCACACTCCTTAGGCCACACCTGATTTGCCAAAGTAGTTCCTAGCATTTCTTCAAAACATGGTCTGCTTAGCTTAGAGTTCAGCTGTACCAGTTTACTCAGAGATAAGGGTTCAGTAAGCTGGAATAAGACTGACCTTCAGAAATATTTTCTGTTGAGCCAGTTATTTCCTCATTCAGCAACTACTGATAATCAGATTCCCAGTGGGAGGACTCTGGAAATCTGATCAGATCATATTCCAGCTTAAAACTCCTGCAATGGTTTCCAATGACTTAGGATAAAATACCCACTCCACTGCAGTTGGCATCCACCTGCTTCTCTAAACTGCTATTTTACAACCTATCTCCTCTCTGTGCTGCAGCGTATTAGACCTTGTCAGGTCCTGAGATATACTCTTTCCTGTCTCAGGAGCTTCCATCATGAATTGTCTGTTGAGAACACCTCCCTTCCCCCACCCCACTACATATGAACACCTCTGCCTCACTGATCTAAGTCTTCCTCCACGCTAGGTTAGGCCCCCCCATGTTTATGCAGTCCATGCATCTCTCCATGTTGATGCATCCCATGCATCTCTTGGTATTTTGCTCACACAAAACTTAATTGGAATTCACTTGTTACTACATGTCTACCTTACTAGACTGTACGTCCCAGAAAAACAAAAACCTTGTCTACTCTGCACTCTCTCTAGGTTTTGGTCTCTAGCGCATAAGAAATAATATGTACTGACTATCTATCTAGTAAGTACCAAAGATGCAAAAATAAATAAATACTAGCTTCCTGTTACAAATATTTCTCAGTTTGGGATAAAGGGGGAAAATAGGAAATGCTATTTTCATAATATATTGTGGGCTGGGGAAGCACAGAAAGAACAACTCAGTCCATTTTAGAGGGGTGAAGACAAGGTTTTTGGAGGGCTTAGAAGTTTGGGCTAGAGGCCCTCCCTGGTGGTGCAACGGGTTGAGACGCAGCACTGCAAGCTAGCTGTAGCCACTTCAGTGTGATTTCAATCCCGGGCCCCAAAGGTGATCCACATGGCACATGGCATAGCAGATCTCTCCTGTCTTGCTTGCCGCTCCCCTGAGCAGTGTACTTTGTTGATCTGCCTGTTCTGCTCCCCACTCTTGTCTCTAGTGAAGCTTCTCACTGCCCCTACACCTCTGGCCTATATACCCCAGTTCAGTATGCATAAATAAATCTTACAAAAAAAAAAAAAATTGGGGCTAGCAAGAACAAAGAAAAATGGGCATCTAAACAGAAAATACAATGTGTCATGGCACAGAGGCATCTGGGAGGGGAGGAGACTGTGTTTGGGATATCAAACATTGAAAGCTAGAATGTTGACAATAACCTAACCTAACTTTATTCTCATTTTATCACCCCGCCAATGGAGCCATTACCCTGTATCCCAAAGCAAGACCATTCTTTCCTTTCTACATCATTTTACTGCATATATGTTCTTTAAACATGTCTTTGTTCTTATGCTTCCCTAGAGGCACCAGGGGGTAAATATTATCACTATCACGCTATCAGCAGCCACTACAACATGAGTTCAATCCCTGGCCAAGTAGCTGACGCACATGACACAGCAGACCTCTCCTGTCTTAGCCCACTGTTCCCTTTAGCAGTGTCTTTCAATCCATCTGTTCTGCTCCCCACTCTGTCTCTCATAAATCCTCTCACCCCCTGCACCTCTGGCCTACACCCCTGCTCTTATATGCACAAATAAATCTTTTAAAAAATAAAATGTCTTTCCTACTTGTATTTACCTACTTATTAGAAAAACGCAAATGAAAACCACAATGACACACCAATGCATCCATAAGGGTACAATTTAAAAGTTAAAATACTAAGTGCTAACAAGGATATAGAACAATCATCTCTCTTTGGTGAGAATCACCATAATCTGTGTGAGGAATCTTGAGAGAGTTCAAGTTATAATTTCCTAGCAGGGTTTTTATGCTACCCTGGCCATGTAATCAAGCCAAACAACTGTAATCAGTCAGGCAGCTGTAAACGATCACAGTAAAGACAGTGATGGTGGAAGTCACCTGGGAAGCTTGAGACTTTAAATGGCACCTCAGAAATCCCAATGTTCTTACCTTGCCCAAGAGCATAAAACTAGACATCCTGATAAAGATAGATGTTTTGCAATCCAGCTATAAAGCAACTCTGTTCTCCACACAACATTCTAAAAATAGGCAAGACTACAGTGACAGAAGGCAGATCAATGGTTACCTAGAACAAAGGTGGAGTGGAGAATTTTGAGCAAAGGTGCATAAGGGAATTTTTTAGGAGATGGAATTATTTTCTATATTTTGATAACGATGTTGTTTACGCTATCACATATGAATTGCCAGAATTCCTTATGTTAAAAAATATTAATTATATTGTATATAGATAAAAAGGAAATTCTTTTAAAGAACATGCTACATTTAATCCTTTGAAACTAAACTTTTTCCCTTTTTTTACATAAAGATTAATACACATTGTTAAGTGTCACTGTGGTTCATTTGAGAACTGTATGATATTCCATTGTGCAAATATTCCAGTTTATTTGTCCATTCTCTTGCTCATGGGCATTTTGGTTTGCCTTTGAACGGGACTGCACATATCTACTGGTCTACATGTATTAGTTTCTCTTGGACTTATCCCTAGTAAGTAGTAACTGGATTGCAGGTAGGTAAATGTTCAATTACAGAAGTAGTTCTCTGCTTTTCTCACCTAGGTCTGCCAATTAGGCTGGACCCCAGGGGCAGGAGACCCTATCCTCTTAAATTATCACTGCTTAGCATTCAATTAGCACCAGGCTGGATACCCAGGAGGCCAAGGATAGACACCTGAGCCTCCCAGATTCAGCAAATATTAAATGCAGAACAGCAGGTGGGAACCATGTACAATGCATGGAGCACAATGAGAATCTTACTTCCTAAGAGCTCTACCTTCCTAGGTTCACTCAATTTTGAGTCTGCAATGTGTAAGTACTAGGGCCCTCAATTATAATGCAAATCCTAAGAAAGGAGAAGATTAACCTCATCTAAAATCCTTCTCAGCTGACACCTCTAATACCCAAATAAGGATTAACAAAAAGGGCATAAAGAACAAAGGGAGTGACAGGAGAAGAGGGAGGGATACTAAAGAGGAAAAAACACAAGTATTTTAAAATCACATACCTTTTTCTGCACAAGAACCAATTTTGCAAAAAAATCTTTTAATAAAATAAAGCAGTATCTGCAAGTGACTGACTGTAAGAGCTTTTTAATATCCTTGCCATTAAAGGATTACCTTCTTTGTGCTGGAGTTACAAAACAACATAACTAGCATGTAGTCAGTAAATGATGTAATTGCCCCAAACACATTATGTAGGGGGAGGCCCTGTACAACTCCAGGAAGAGCTATGAGGGTTTGGGAGTGGCCAAAGAACTGGCACCAGAGCTTGGCAGCAGAACAGAAACAAAGGTGAAAAGAAAAACTACAACAAAACAAAACACAGGAGACACCTAGGTGCTCAGAAAGCAAATGGAGGAGAGCTGCCATTCCAAAGGTTGAAGAGGACATACTATATCCCACAATCCCAACTGCTGCCTCTGCAGCAGCTCCCTGGCTAACTGCCATGCAGGAACTCAAGGGAGACCTGCTAGAGGAATAAACAATGGGAAAAATACACAAAAAAGTAACACAGTCCTATGGCAAAACAGCTTCCCCAGCCACATGGCGGCAGTGCTGTTGCCAGCGGGAGGAATGGCTGTAATTATTTAGCGCAAGAGCTTTCTCAACGTAAGTAAGCAGATTATTATGCATTGGCTTGACAGCTTTCGTTACTTGTTCCTTAGACAATGGGTCTTATGGAGAAACTAGGTACGCTTGTTGGGGCCCATCAGCTGCACAAAACTGATCACACAGAACTCACCTCCAGACAGGGGCTTTGCACACAGACTGAGTCCTGAGTTTTGGGCACCTGGAGATAGTGTTTTGTGGTAGTAGCTGGTACAAACGAAGCTAGCAATACTTGAACTGATATGAGGCCCCCAACTACAGCCCCAGCTCTATGGAGCTTCGACAATTTTATTAGCTGAATGCTTCTTCCCAATTTTACAGCTTATAGTGTGCTCAGTGGCCAGCTAACTGGCTCTTCTTCCTAAGCCCCTAATGGCCCAGGACCCGTTAGCACAGGCTTGGAGATAGGGGGAGGGGAGTAAGTAAGTTAGAAACCTGCTGTTGCTCCACAGTGGACAGCAGAACAAGAAAATATCTACTTCCTATGGCTGAAGCAGTGTCTATAGAAAGATTTGCAAATGATGAAGATAGGACCCAGAGTGCATCTTTGCCACTGGTATCAATTCCTGGTACCTCCATAGGAGGACACCCTCTGTCTTCCCTACATCAGGGCTTCAAGGACAGGGTGACGCTATGTTAGCCTACACATTTTGCAAAAGTACATTGGCCCAAAATTGGCCATAAGATTTGGAACTACCATCTCCCCAACTTGGCAGGATGGGAAGAAAGAGAATGTGTCCATAAAATGCTTTCGGAAGTGAGTCAGGTCTTCAACCTGAACCTTGATGCTGTATTGATTGGCCAGGAGCTCAATGGCACCTTGCACCACATACTCGTTCTGTAAGTGTGAGAGTGAACAGGTAGAATAGACAACGTGGCCTCCTGGTTTGGTGGCAAGAAGTCCAGCCCTGAAACCAGAAAGAGAGAAGCAGTGATTGGTGACGTTCTCAGGAGTAGAAAGGCAACAGAAGAAACTGGCAGCATTGATGGGGGAGTCTACTGTGAGATGGGAAAAGGCACTAGGTAGCCTCTATAATCCCTTTCACAATGAAGAAGCCTGGAAAGTCATTTTCAAGGCAGAGAGAAACCCAATCTTACTCCATGGATGTGCTTAAAACAATCTCATGAGCTCTGACTCCAATTATGGATACAACCCTGATGCTATGGTTTGAGTTATCCCAATCTTATACAACCTTGACTTCAGTAATATTTTTCAAACTTGTGTTAATCACTGGTTCTGGGACTGTCATGGGGGTAAGACAGCCTAAATGTGTCTGGCAGTCCACCCTGCTACGTATGTCCTACCACAAAGAATTCACAAGGTCCATTCGATTCCTCCAGGCAGATCCCCCAGATCCTCCTATGCAAAGCAAGAACTTCCAGTTCCCTAGTCCCCCAGACCCTCTGGATGATCAGATCCCCCAGCACATTCTAGCACAAAGTCTCAAGTTTTTGTAAAGCTGTCACTCACGCAAGAAGCTGAACCTGCAGCATAGGCAACATCTGCCGCTCCTTCTTCCTTGACCTCTGAAAGATGTTGTTCTCCTCCTCATGAAGGGAGTGGCGGTCTGTGGTACAGGGCACATCCACCAGCACCTGCTCAGAAATGTTAAGGGTAAAGTATTAAAGCTCCTTACAGCCTCCTCTTCCCTAGGTCAGGGTGGTTAAGGTCCCTGGTCTGGGGTTTTTTGCAGAGTGCTCTCTATGCCCATTCTTCCACAGAGCTCCTCGTTTTAACCTTGTAGACAACTGAGAAATAATAAATGGGAAAATGGGCCTTCCCTGGTGGGACAAAGGGTTAAAGCACAGCACTACGAAAAGCTTCAGCATGAGTTTGGTCCTTAGCTGGGGAGGTGACCCACGTGGCGCAGCAGGCTTCTCATGTCTCACCTACTGCTCCCCTCAGCAGTGTATTTTCATCAGTCTGGTTGTTCTGCCCACTCTGTCTCTAGTAAAACCTTGCACTGTTCCTGTACCTCTGGCCTGTACCACAGTTCTGTATGCATAAATAAATAAATATTTAAAAATAATAATAAATGGGAAAATAGTATATTTAAAAATATTCATGGTTGGTGAAAAAACCAAGCCCAACACACAAATACTAATAATTAAGTAATCAACCTAGAAATAAGACTTTAGTGCTTCACATCTCAGCTCTTGGGTCTACCCATTGGTAATGGAATGAAAACATCCAGTTTAGATGACATAATAATACCCAAAGAGTAACTCACACACTGAAAAATCAGGATCAGGATTAAAAATTATCTTATATTACAACGCTATATGAACATGGAAGAGTTTTAAAATGAGAAATGTAAAATCATTCATTTACTAAGCCTATTCTAGTCACTAGAGACAAAAACAAATATGGAGAAAAGTCTGAATTTTTCGTTGATCAGAAACTCTAAGAGAATAACAACCTAGTGTACAATACTCTGATGTATCCTAGGCTCCATGAGTTGACAGAGAGCCTACAGAATAAGAGAAATGATTAACATATATTCTGGTCAGTTATTAACTGTGATGGCCATTACAGCATTGCCATTACAGGAAAGAGACTAATTAAGTAGAGATGCCCAGAGAAGAACAACTGGGATGTTTAGAAACCACACCAGAGGGGACTGAGTGCAGTGGCTGAGAGGAAAAGTGGCCCGGCTTGGCCTCTGGGAACTTTGATTGTAGTTTTCTATTTGGGCACAAATAATGAAATCTCCAGGATTCTTCAGAGGTTCTTCAGGTTCTCCTCTCTCATTCTCCCTGCAACCTCAGTCCATTTCAGGAGGAACACTGGTGCTACTGCTGTGGCATTTAATAAGGAATTTGATCCTGTTAGAAAATCTCCATGGATAAGATTAGAGAATACAACCTGGAGAAAGAGGCATCTGGAGGCCCCGTTGATACTGACCAGAGTATCAGCTGTACAGAGAGTTGTTTAAGTTTAAACAAATGTATAGCAGAACAGACTATGTGCCCTAACTTTACATTTGAAGAACCCAAGATTGAAGTCATAAAAAAAAGCAGTTCTTAAGAAATGAGGTGAAATTTACCTGGTAATTTGTCCTACATTTGTTTTATCAGTGATGAGAACTATCAGAATAAACATATATTTTTACCTCTGTCAAAAAAAAAAAAAATACATAGCTCATAGAAAATTACAGACATCTTCAAAAGTTAAAGAAAAAGCAGAGCACAATCTAGAGCAGTATGCCTGTAATGGCAATGCTGTAATGGCCATCACAGTTAATAACTGACCAGAATATATGTTAATCATTTCTCTTATTCTGTAGTCACTCTGTCAACTCATGGAGCCTAGGATACATCAGAGTATTGTACACTAGGTTGTTATTCTCTTAGAGTTTCTGATCAACGAAAAAAAAAAAAAGGGAACCTTATCACAGAAGAAATTAACACCTGTTTCTAACAATGAAATCAACACAATATCCTAAAAACCTCCTAATACGAAATAGTCCTGAAAAGGCTGGATGAAGTATTTTTTTAAATACTTTTAGAACTACTTTTAAATACATAGCTCATAGAAAATTACAGACATCTTCAAAAGTTAAAGAAAAAGCAGAGCACAATCTAGAGCAGTATGCCAGCATTGAAGCCAATGGCTTCTATCTTTTACCAACCCCTGGTAACCTGAAGCCTTAGCACACAGAAAAAAGGCCATTTGAGATGGGAACTGAAATGGAAATCCATAACAATGTCAAAATCCTCAAAGGATTACCAACTCAACCAGAGAGAAGCAGAAGATTGGGGGGGTGGGGAGAACAGCTCACAATGTAAGACAAGAGAACTTGCCTGTTTTAGCTCTAACTCTGGGGAAGAGATGGAGTTACCAAGAGTGTACAGAACCGTGAGATAGTATTCTTTGCATCTAATATGCTCAGTGCTTGCTTAATACTCAATATGTTGTACACAACTCTCTGCTCAACAGATAAAGACATTTTAGGAGCTGAACGCTATTTTTAAATGTCTGAAGTACTTTCAAGTGAAATAGGAGGCAGCTCCTTCTACATTGTTCCAGAAGGCAATGCTAGATCAATGAATGGAAATAATAAAAATAATGACAACTGCGATGACAGTAATATTAAATGCTTCCTACATGCCAGGCACTGTGCTAATTGCATCCTATTTAATCTTTATATATGAGGTTAAGTATTACTATTATCTTCATTTTACAGATGAGGAAGCTAAAGCTTAACTGAAAGCTTAACTTGCCCAAATTTCTCTGGCTGGTAAGTGATGGAGTCAGAACTCCAATCCAAGCATTATAACTCCAGAATCCTTGTACCTAACCATATACTATATAAAGTACAAATTTTAATTTACTGAGAAGAACTTTCTAACATTAGAGGTATTCAACCAAAGAACCTTAGTGAGCCCCATCCATGGAAGGTGCAAGCACAGGCTGAATATTGATGATGGCCACTACCTACCTAATCTTCATGGCTAGGTACTATGCTAGTTATTTGCCCTGGATACTCTTGCTGAATCCTCATTACAATGCTACATAATAGTATTCCCTATTTTACAAACGAAGAGGTTGGAGTTCAACAAGATCAAGCAGCTTTCCAGCAGCCCTGTGTTTCAGAAGCAAGTTAGGCTTCACAACAGAGGTCAAGCTCATTCCACTCTGGTCTGCTGTCTCTGTGCCAAAAAGGCTCTGAAAAGGGGCTTCATACAAAGGCAGGAAGCAGGCCTCTCAAGCTTATCTAAAATTCTATATACACACTGTTTTTTCTTTTCATTTCTTAGACAGTTGAAGCAGAATGGTGACAATCAGATTAGATAAATGAGTCAAAACAGCACAGAGACAATAGCTATATTTAGCTTATATTTTTTAAAGTTTATGTTTTAAATGACTCTTTTAGAATGACTATTAAAAGAAAATAAAAATAGCTTAAAATATATGATTTTCAAAAATATGACTTTCGATATTCATAATAAAAGAATGTAAATTAGATATCAATTTGGGAAAAATAACAAGTCTGACAATACTAATGATGACAGGATATGGGCAAATGGCATTCTCATTCATTAGCAGTAGAAATGAAACTGATTTAACCTCCACAAAGAGCAATTCAGTAACGTCTATCAAAATCTGAAATGCATACCAACTGTTATCCATCAAATATACTTCAAAAATATGAATTACCAAGAAGAGATGTTACATCTACACAATGGAGTACTATTAGCAATCAAAAAAAGATAAACTCATGCCATTTGCAGCCACATGAATCGAGATGGAAGGGATTATGCTCAGTGAAATAAGCCAGAAGGAAAAAAGAAAAATATTGGGTGGTTTCACTCAAAGGAGGAATGTAGGGGAATCAAATAAGAGACAAGGGGAAAAAATATAATTATAATAAATCAAAACCCAAAATTAACAAGCAACTATTAATCAGAGATACTCTGCATGAAAGGAGGAAAGAAAGGAATCAACCAGGGCAGAGAATGTGTTCTTATACAAGGGACATGGTGATGGTGCACAGAACTAGTGATGGGAATTTTGCAAAGACCACACCTGAAAAGAGAAAGCATGCACTGCACAAAAAAGAAGAAAGATGATATATATATATAATAAAAAATTTTAAATATGAATTAAGCTAAAAATGACTGAACTTCAGAACACACTGTTGAATGAAAGAAGTACAAAGTTCAAAATAACTAACATGGGCCCTCCCTGGTGGCGCAGCGGGTTAAAGCACTGCACTAAGAAGCTAAAGCCACTTGCGCATGAGTTCGATCCCCGCCTGCCCCGGAGGCGACCACATGGCGAGGCAGACCTCTCCTGACCCGCCCACTGCTCCCCTCGGCGGTGTGCTTCGTCGATCTGCCTGTTCTGCTCCTCTCTCTGTCTCTGGTGAACCCTCTCACCCTCCGCATCTCTGGCCTGTACCCCAGTTCTGTACGAATAAATAA